GGAGCAGGACAGAGGATGCAACTTGTTTAGTATGACATGTTAGGTCATTTGATTGATTTTGTTTACTTTATAGCAGGACAACATTGTTTAAGTAGCATGAGGACATGTTAAAGTAGTCCTTTTTTCAGCTAGCAAGCTCAAGCTCTGAATTTGAGGATATTAATTAAATAGTGTTGCTTGGAAGCATTTTAATGAATTTGTTTATGTTAATTCTGATTTTGTTCAGGAAGGTGGAAACTGTGGATTAGTTGAATGGATTGATCCAGCTTGGCCCATCACCCTTGAGAATGCATTAACCAAGTTATGGTTTATGTATGACAAAAGTAGGAGAGACAGGACTGAGGAAAATCTTATGCATTCATTTGCTGTTCATGACCTGACACAAGAGAAGAAGAAGCTGCAGGAGAACTATGATAAGTTGGTTGAAGATGTGAATGGACTTTTGGATGCTCAGGAAAGGAGGGCAGAGGTAGAAAGGAAAGATCTTAAAACCAACAAGCTTCAGGAGAAGTATGACATGGTTAAGAACTTAGCAGCTGCTCAAGCAAATGTCATTAGGAACATGAAGCTCAAGCTAGCTGAAGAGAGGAAGAACTTGCAGAACCACATTGATCAGCTGAACAAGACAGTTGAAGAGAGCAATGTGAAGCTGCAGGGGGGCAAGGCAATCATAAATGGATAAGCAGGTGGTTGTGGAAGAGAAGAATGGGAAATATCATTTGGCATTTGCTGACCTTTTGCAGTGTGTGGTTTGGCATTTGCTGTAATGATGGTAGTTTAAATTGTATGAACTATGAGTACTTCTGAACTATGGTTATGTAATGTAGTAATCTTCAACTAGGATTATGTATGGATTTGAAGTAATGTTGATTGTGATCTTTAGTAAGATGCTTGCAAATTTATGATTGTGATCTTAAGTATTTTACAGTTGTTGAATCTGATCTTAAGTGTGTTTATGCTCAAATGACGATTGTGAGCATCAAGTTGGGTCAATTAGTGGATTGTGGCTTTTTATCGATGAGGAGGCATCAAGTAGGCTTTTTTGGCTTTTTATCGATGAGGAGGCATCATGCAGGATTTTTTGGCTTTTTATCGATCCCGAAGGCATCAAGTAGGTTTTTTGGCTATTTATCGATGAGGAGGCATCAAGTATGCTTTTTTAGCTATTTATCGGCCCGGAGGCATCCAGTAGGTTTTTTTGGCTTTTTATCGACCCGGAGGCATCAAGTAGGCTTTTTTTGGCTATTTATCGACCCGAAGGCATCAAGTAAGCTTTTTTGGCTTTTTATCGACCCGGAGGCATCCAGTAAGCTTTTTTGGCTTTTTGTCGACCCGGAGGCATCAAGTAAGCTTATTTGGCTTTTTATCGACCCCGATGCATCAAGTAACTAGAGTAGCACTATATAAGTTGATCATCACAGCACTACTAGAATGCCATAGTTTGACAGAAGGATCATAACTGGAGTAGCACTACATAAGTTGATCATCACAGCACTACTAGAATGCGATAGTTTGACAGAAGGATCATAACTGGAGTAGCACTACATAAGTTGATCATCACTTGATCATTACAGTACCAGAACCTAAGTTGGTCATTACAGTACCAGAACATAATAGTAGCAGTGTCTCACAACATGATAAAGCATATTTTGGATCACAACATCAATCCCATGCTGCACCAGAAGCAGTCAGGTAGTCCTTGATCTTCTGGGTTGGCTTTCTGACTCTCTGGGAACCACTGTTTGGTCTTGGAGGCAAGAAAGCTGCCCTTGCTCCCTTTGCAGCAGTTGAAGCCCTAGTGGATGTAGCCTTACCCTTTGCAGCAGTTGAAGCCCTAGTGGTTGTAGCCTTACCCTTTGCAGCAGTAGCAGATCTTGTTGATGGTGCAGTGGCAGAAGATGGAGTTCTTCTTGCTGGTGATGGTGAAGTGGCAGTAGATGCAACCCTTCTTGGTGGTGCTGGTGCAGTGGCAGTAGATGCAGCCCTTCTTGGTGGTGCTGGTGCAGTGGCAGTAGATGCAGCCCTTCTTGCTGGTGCTGGTGCAGTGGCAGTAGATGCAGCCCTTCTTGCTGGTGCTGGTGCAGTAGCAGCATCAGGTGGATAAGAAGAGGTGGTTGGCTGCAAAAAGAACACAAGTAATTCATTTAGAATCTTTTTGTTACATGCATAGAGAACACAAGTAATTCATTTAGAATGTTTTGCATTGTTTGTACCTCATGCCTGTTCTTTCTCATGGCTAGTGCAGGCTTCAAAGCAACATTGCAGTTGGTGTACCTATGGCCAACTTTGCTGCAATTAGAACAAGTGATTGAGGCCATCCTTGAAGTGTCTTTTGGAGCCGGCTTCTCATGTCTGCCCTTTCTTCTCTTAGTTTGTGCTCTGCCTTTGTGTTCTTTGAAGACTGGAGGGTCAATGTCCCTACTATCTGTCTTTGTGTTCTTCTCTTGCTCCTCTTCATTGTGTTGCTCCCCTTGCACCACTTCCTCCACTTCCTCCAATTCCTCCAATTCCTCCTCCTCTTGATCATCATCATCCTCTTCTTCACCTGATGGATCATACAGTTCCTCCTCCTCATCTGTAGACCACATATCCTCAACATCTGTGTCCCCTTCAAAACGCAGTAATGGATCATCCCTCTGTTTTTTCATTTCCTCAAGCCTAGCAAGGATATCCCCATATTCTGACAGATTATCATCATCACTATCCTCTTCATTGTCCATAACTGCAACTTTCCTTTTCAAAGGAGTGGCCTTCTCTTTTTCTTTCTCATTCTTCCTAAACATTGCAATTTCCTTTCTCCTTCTCTCCTCCATGACTTTTTCTATTTGCAGTTGCTCCTCTGAATTGTTTGTGCTCTGTTGTGTTTGAAACTGTATTGGTCTTGGTTCTTCTACTGCTACTACTGCTGCTGTGTTTGAAACTGAACTAGGATGTGCATTGAACAACACTCCTTCTTCATCTACCTGATACAGTTGGGGCTCTCCAATTTCCTGCAGAGGGATCTGTTGCTCAATAACATTAGCACTGCAATTTATATGTGCAGGTTTGGGGGAACTGGCCCTAACAACTGTCACATTGAAAATCTTCTGCTTCTGCTGTACTATGTGGTCTAGAATTTCCTCCAGCATGTCATCATCCTCTATTTCTTGCATTCCTTCTATCCCTAGGCCAGGATCCTTCACATAGTACATGTAATCCCTCACCCCATATCCTTCAGTCTCTATCAGTGCAACTAGATTGTAAAATGTGATGTCTGACAACATCATAGTTCTCTCAAGATTATCTCTGTCATGAAAATGCATCCTCAATTCCCAAACCTCATCATCCAGACTGCAAATTTATAAAGAAATATAGTGGTGTATAAGTGTTCAATTATAACACTTATGAAAAAGCAGGACAACATCAATACATAGCTTTGGGTTGCTTAAATAACCAATGTAGTACAAAGCAAAAAACTGCAATAACCCTAGCATGGTTCATTAAGATCTACTGCTTATAAACCATAGCTTATTTCAACTAAGTAAGACACACAGAACAGCTAATTTATACATAATGAGTTAATTTCAGAAAGAAATCATCGCAATAACAATCATAGGGCCAACAATAGGCAATGGAGATGGGGAAGGGGATATCACTACACACTAACCCTAGCCCTAGAAACGGGTCAAATAAGTTCACAGGAGAATGGGTAAGGGAAGGGGATCTCACTATACACCGCCGAAGGATGAGGCGATGTGGTGGCTTCCATTGGGATTCGCCTTCACCGCCGCAGCGAAAGATCTAGCCGCCGCGTATTCCACCGAATACTCCACCTCCGCATCTCGCGTCGCCTTGCTAGGGTTCGAGCTCCCGCAGAGCTCACCGCCTGGGTCGGGATCCGCGTCGCCTGCGCCACTGCCGGGAGGACCGCCGCCGCCAACACCGGCTGCTTTCGCCGCAGTAGCCATCTGCCTACGCGACGAGAGGAGGGGAGAGAGCGGCAGGAGAGTGGGGAAGAAGGCAGACGCGAGGAGGGGAGACAGCGGCGACAGGAGAAAAGGGGGAGAAACAAACAGATGGGGGATGGAGGGGGACGGCACCGTCAAACGCCGTCTAACGGCTGTCGGGACGGCCGACGGTGCCACGTGCGCAAAAAACGGGCCCCGCCTGTCATAAACAAGCTTAACTGAGTCCGATCCGTCGATCAGTGCTTTCTGCAAAAAGATTACCGTAGACACGGTGTTTTTTGCAAAAAAGATGTATTGTAGTGGTTTTCGCAAAGCTTGCCTTCAAAAGTGGTGGTTTTCTGCAATTTACTTCGTTCTGCAATGTCGAAGCAACGACTCATCCACAGGCAAGAGCTACAAACAAGGTTGTGATGGCGAGGTTGCAAGTACATCATCAACAACGAGGCCTCACGTCCATGGCTGGGTCGGGACGGTCAGCGGCGCTCACTGTCACTCTTTCCCTCCTACGCACGGTTGCATGATTTGGGGAAAAGACAACCACGGAATGGATGAAGAATGAGCCCTAATCCGACGGTTGAAGGACAAAGGACAACGCAACGAACGCTCGGGATGCGACCAGCCAAAAGTTGCACTAGTCAATCGGCGAGCATTGGCCATACAAAAACCACATGTGCCAAATGAGTTCTTACATGGACAAACAAAAACATTGACACACACATCTTCGAACTTAGAGCACATGGGCTCCTCAGCAAAAAATTAAGTTGGTCGAGTTCATGCCAGATGCCAAAAAAACACACTCAAGAATGACAATAAAAGCGATCCATTGCAGAAAAAAGAACCAATCACGAGGAAGAGAAAACGATTCATTGCAACCATTGTCTGCCAACTACGAACGGAAGAAAAGGGGTTCCCATACATCACTGCTCTCAGACTGACTGAGCAACACATAACTTGTCTTGCAGTTCACCAACATTATTAAAGGGAAACAGTTTGTCAAGTCTTCTCCAACCCCCAAAACGAAAACCACTGCTTGTACTGAGTACGACACGTTGATCACCTCTTACGCTTCGCCTTCCACTGCTTGAGGATATGCTCCACCACTTCCCCCATGCTAGCCTTCCTGTTCTCTTTGTTGTTCCACAGCTCCGAGACCACGTAGCTGCCGCTGGCATTGTACTCGTTCATCTCCACCAGCGCAGTGGTCACAGCCTTGTAAACCTCTTCGCCCAGCTCCTCCTTCAGCCCCACCAGCTTCTCGTCGCCTTCGTCGATGATTTGCTGGGGGACACATCACATATCATTGCATTATGTACTTGTCACAAGTGTCTGTTTAAGACAAGAAGGCAGCAAGATAAGAATCACTTCATTTGATCGTTCGTACCTCAGACTTTTCACCTTTGGTCACTATCTTAAAAGGGTGCCAATTAGCATCCCTCAGATTGTCTTGCCACATGGAGCAAAATTCAAGAGCTTTTGTATCCGCCTCCGCGCCATACTTTGGCTTGCAAGCTTCAATAAACGGCTTCTCATCCACTTGACCCATCCTCCTGATTCCAATGTTGCTACGAGGGCCCAACAGATCCACCAAGCCCTGTAAACCAACAAGCTCAAGATTTTAGTGTACAGAATTTTGCCCGCAAAATAAAAACTGTTAAGGAGGACAAGTGTGTATGCGTGGGTGTATGTAACATTACCGAAATAAGCTCTTTCTTTGCATCCTGCAGTTCATCATTGGTCATCCTTTCCTTGATAATCAGAGCTTGATTTAGCTCTTCCAGGTCTTCCATTGCGTCGATTCTATCCTGTAGATCCTTGTTCAGCTCTTCAGTACGTTTCTTCACATCGACGCCCTCTCCCTCCATGTGCTTCACCACCTCCAGCTTGCCTCTAAGCTGTTGAATATCCAGCTCCAGCTGATGCTTCTCATCAAGCTGCTTCTCTAACAGCAAGATTTTGTTCAGAGCGGCTTCCTTCTCTTTCTGAAAATGAATTTGACATGTCAGGGTAGATTCTAGATTCTGGAATTGAAACTCTCAAGACATTTGAATGACACTAACAATTGGAAGGGTAGGATCGCATACCTTGTGTTTCTCAACAAGAATCCGCACACCTTCACTGGCTTTTTCTTGCTCAATTCTTGCCATGTTAAGGGAGTCGTTTTGACCATCATTCTGAAGGGAAATTAGTTCAGCAGTAAGATAACTAGCCAGCTAGATATTTCTACAAAAAGATCACCACAAGCATGCCGAAACGCTAGTATTCCGAGAACAATATCAGTATATAGTAAACAGAGTCAAATTTTAGACCAAGAAAGCAATTCACTGAATTCCGGTATAAATGATGCATTTTATAGTAAACAGTTATGTGAGTGAATTTCATACCTTCTTCCTCTCATTCTCCAGTTTTCTTCTTTCCATGTCAGTTTGAGCAACTATTTCACTTAGTTGCTTTGATCTCCTTTTGATGTCGTTCTCTTTCTCATCCAACTGCTTTCTCAGCTGATCAGTCTCATGGAAAATTTTCAGCGAATGTTCACGGGCAGTTGACTGCATCTTTCGCATTTCTGTAGAGAAAACAAACAAAACATGATACAGTAGACATGATCATATTCGCAATGCGAACGAGTGTACCATTCATACAGCAATTGCATGAGACTCTGGGGAGTGGGGGATACCTTCGTTGTAGCGTTGGTCCAGCGAGTCGTTGTCTTCCATGGCCCTTTGGAGAGCGAGATCCATCTGATTACACTTGCACTCAAGTTCCATCAAGTACTTGCTCTTGGCACTAATCTGGCTCGTCAAACTAGTTATGAGAGTGTCAGTCTTGCGGGACATCTCTTGTTGCAGTTCAGCCACTGTCTTGAGATCACCATTTTCTGACAAGAACTTGCCAACTGGATCATCTGCTTTGTAATCCTCCTCTTTTGCCAGCCAAGCAAACATGTACTTGTCACTTTTATTTGCCTCCCAATCCGTTTTACCCAGATGATGTGATTTGTAGTAGTTGTGGAATCCCAAGGCATCCTTGAACCCGATCCAATCCTTGTTGAAACGGACTATTGCAAAGCCAGTGTACCCGCCGTCAGGAGAATGCACAGCATTGAAACGTATGGGTTTGAAACCGGCTAGCTGTTGCATTACAATGGCTCCACCTCTCTGTGTTTGCTCTACTGGAACATTGGCAAGGATGCCCATCCAGGGCCAAACAAACAGCTCCTGGTCCTGCACTGGCTTTGGAGGGTTGATCAGCGCCTCGGCCTGTCGAGGCGGCAACGAGCCTGCTGCATCGGCATGGTCAGTCTTGAGGTGACTGGCCAGTGCCTGATGGTTTGCCTTCACTTTGGCAGCACGGTTGGATGCGCCCACACCAATTGCGTGCTGAAGCAGCTCATTGTAGCGGTAGTCCTGCTTCTTCTTCCCGGGGCAGAACGGACATCTAAACCTGTCTGCGCCGAACCTCGCCACAAGCTTGCCAGACTTGAGGTCCGTGTACGCCTTGTCAGCATAGTCATCGATATCAGTGTCACTTAGCTCTGACGACTCGTCTGAACTGCACTCCATACGAGACCTGAAAATAAGGAATGATCAGCTAGAAAAATTGCACCAAGCAGCAAGACAGTGGACTGACAATAGAACAAAAACATACTGATGTTTATGCCAAGCAACTAACTAGCCAAGAAACACTAAGCAGTTAACACACTGATGTTATGTAACCAATTCACAACAACAAGAGGAGCAAATGTTATGTAACCAACACCAATTGATAGCAACAAGAGAAACACCACCTCTTGTGCCCACCAAGCATGTTATTATAAATCAATAAATGCACACGTATATGCAACAGTGTTGGAGATGTAAGCCTGATTCGACGCTGCTCATACACACTGAGGGAGCGCATGCACATTCACATACCAAATCGCATACTAAGGAGAACACGACTTAAGCATGCAGATGCGGGCTAAAGATTAACGCCAGCGCACCTCCTTCTCAACGGCCACAAAACCCTCTAAAGCAATACCCCAAACACCTCACACACTCGTGCTCGAGCAAGAGAGATTAATCAAAACCAAAAGAAATACCGTGCGGTGCTGCCAACAAATAGGCAGAGACCTAAATTAGGCAGAACTAAAAGAAACGAGACCACGACGGTGCTGCCAAGAACACCGTGTATCGTGCATCTCAGGAAAGGAGGCAATCGATCGTGGAGAAATAGAGCCATGGATCATGATCTTTTTTGCACATTTGATCAAATGCCTGGACTGCATCACCCACCCACCCATTTATACACGTTTGGTTCTTCTGTCTTAGCAGGCTGCTGCTGCTGCTCATGCTGCTCGTTGGTGAGGAAAGGGATGTAGAGGGGAAGATGCGGACCTTTGAGCAGATCGGCTCGTTGTTAGTGAGGAAGAGGATGGAGAGGCGGAGGGTCGAGCCTTGGAGCAGCCCGGCTTGTTGTTAGCGAGGAGAAGGATGGCGAGGTGAAGGATCGGACCATGGAGCAGGTTGATGCGAAGGGCGGCGGAGTTTCCGGCGGTCTGCGACGGCATGGCAGAGCTCATCGAGGGCGCGCGCAGCGGCAGCCACGGATGGGAGGCCGAAGCGGCTGCCGCCGTGGCGATTTGCGTGAGGGGGGAGAGCGCCGGGCAGCGCGAGCGAGGAGGAGGTCGGGCAGGGCTGCGGTCGCGTCCGCCGCGTCGATCTGGGCGAACGTTCGGCATTGGGCGGCCGCCGTCGCCGCATCGACGGCGGACGCTGCGAGCAAGAGAGATCAACCAAAACCAAAACCAAAAGAAAACCCAAAAGAAATACTACCAAAAATTAGTACTAGTTGTGCGCGGCGAGCAAGAAAGATTAACCAAAACCAAAAGAAAACCCAAAAGAAATACTCCCAAAAATTAGTACTAGTTGTGCGCGGCGAGCAAGAAAGATTAACCAAAACCAAAAGAATCCATGGAAAAGGAAGCGGAAAGAAAGAAGAGCAGAACGAGCACAGATCATATCATACCATTGGTAAAAAAAATATTAGAGTGAAGTGCACTGTAGGTTCTTAAACTATTTCAGGATGTCACATAGGTCCTCGAACTATGAAAATCGTCATTTAGGTCCTTGAAGTACAGTAAGTGTGTCATCCAGGTCCAAAATCTCACTAACCCCCTCTAAATGGCCAGCTGGCATGGTGAACAGTGCGAAAAATAAAAAAATATGAACAAAAAAAATCTAAAAATCTTTGGCATCAAAGATACCCCTGGTGCGTGAATAGTAAAAATGTTCATTAATTCAAAAAGATGTTCGCGAATATGGGAAAAATATTCGCGACTTTAAAAAAGTTCACAAACAATAAATTTGAAAATATGTTCGCGAACCACAAATATTGTTCGTGGGTATGGAAAAAAATGTTCGTGAACCACAAAAATTCCTGACTTTAAAAAATGTTAGTGAACTTTTTATTAAAGTCGCAAATATTTTTTCCGAATTCATCGTTCGCGAACATTTTATTAAAGTCACGAATATTTTTTCCAAATTCATCGTTCGCGAACATTTTTTTAAAGTCATGAATATTTTTTCCAAATTCATCGTTCACAAACTTTTTTTAAACTCGCGAATATTTTTCCCAAATTCATCGTTCGCGAACATTTTTTTAAAGTCGTGAATATTTTTTCCAAATTCATCGTTCGCGAACTTTTTTTAAACTCACGAATATTTTTTTAAAGTCACGAATATTTTTTTCCAAATTCATCGTTCGCGAACATTTTATTAAAGTCACAAATATTTTTCCAAATTCATCGTTTGCGAACTTTTTTTGAATTAACGATATTTTTACTGTTCACGCGCCAGGGTCTCTTCGATGACAGAGGATCTCGGTTTTTTTATATTTTTTATATTTATTCTTTGTTATGTACTGTTCAGCACGCACAGGAATTCAGGACTGTTTGCCGTGTACTGTTACAGTTACTGTTTATGTGTCAGCTGGCCAGGGAGATTTTGGACCTGAATGACACACTTACTGTACTTTGAGGACCTAGATGACGATTTTCATAGTTCGAGGACCTACGTGACATCCCTGGAATAGTTCAAGGACCTACAGTGCACTTCACTCAAAATATTAATTAGAGATGAAAAAGATGAAGGAGAAAGGGGCAGGAAGAGGGCCAAGAAAATCACCAGCAAGGTCTCGGTCTCTCTCTCTCTCTTGGTGTGTCTTCAGCGAGGGAGATGGGGGAGGTGGGGAGAGAAAAGTGGCGAGGAGGGGAGCGGGGATGAATGGCAAGAGCCTCGCTGCAGTCCCCTCCCACGTCTTTCCTTTCCTCTTATATGCAAAGCGCGCAGCCCCGCACAGGCAGCACGGTGCAACTACTCCTGGCAAAGCCCCATCGTGGCCGCACGCGGCGCATCCGACGGGTAGGGATCGGGCGTTGCCGTCTACGTGATAGCAGCGGGGTGGTGGTGGGCCAGCAGAGACACTGCGGAAATGGCAGGCCTTGCTTGTTTGCTTGTGGGCAGATGCGTTTTTTGACCGGCTGCCTGCCTGTCAGCTGGATTACGTGTGGCCTTGGCACTGGCCGTGGCTGGCAGAAGGAAAGTAAAGCAGGCGTAAGAATTCCAACGGCCGGGCACCTCCTACCCACCCTCTGCCAAACGCGAGCACGCACTCCACTATTTACGACTCCTGCTATTAATCCTACCAGAGCACTAATAATTTACAAACTGCAACATCAGTCTAGGCCTGGTGATATATGAAGAACAGGGAGGAAACAGAGTCTGCCATTCTGGCGCTCCATCTCTCGGCTACCTACCAAGGTAGCTAGCCCCTAGCAATTACTACTACTCACGGATTAGCGGGACAATCCACTAGGCTGCCGCCTTGTACTACAACCTACGCTCTTCACTTCATCCCATTCAACTAACGCACTCGTGTTTCGGTTCCCCACAAACCTTCCAGTCTCCAGTTAATCTTGCTTCAGAAGAGCAGTTTTTTAAAGCAGTTTGTTGACCCCTCAAAAATGAAAGTAAATCTAGCACGACTGTTCTAAAAAAAAACAGGTAGATCAACAACAGAAAGAGAAATATACTCTAAAAAAAACGGAAAAAAAATCTCTCAAAAAAGAATCCTCTTAAGCCACCAGTCACTCGGACGACACACAGAGAGACAGGGACACAAAGACGATGATATCATGGCAGAAGAGAAAAGGAAAGAAGTAGAGCAAAGAAGATGCATTACCCCATCTCTTGGTGGCCTGGATCTCCTAGATCGACGGATCCGACGCCGATTAATCAACACCTGCAAGAGATTAACGAGAAGAGGCAGATAGATTAGGCCAAAGACAAGGAGGGCGGCGAAGCAAGTAAAGGAAGTTGCGGAAGACACCAATCGAACACGAACAAGAAGAAGAAGTAGGCAGAGAACGAGAGGAACTGCCAGTAAACCAGCAGGGGTCTAGACAGGAGCTAGATCGGGAACATATACGGAGACGAGCGTCCCTCCCAAATAACATGGGGAAAAACTAGCACCGGCAAGAGAGATTAGAAGCCAGGGGAAAAGAGAGAGGCGGAAAGAAACAACACAAGAAAGAAAAGCAGAGCGAGCGAGAGATCATATCATATCACTGGTAAAATTATCAGAGGAGAAAAGAAAGAAGAGCAGGCAGAGGAGGAAGAAGGCCGAGCAAGAAAATCACCACCCTCTCTCTTTTCTCTTACCGATTGATTGAAGCGGATGCGGGGAGGAATGGCAAGAGTCTCCTCTCCAAAAACCCTCTCCTCCTCCTCTGTCTAAAGGTGGGAGTGCGGGTGCCCACGGTTTCCTCTTATAGGCAGAGCTCTCGGCCCGGCGCAGGCAGCACGGTGCAACCACTCAGGGGAAAGCCCCATCCTGGCCGCACGCGGCGCATCCGACGGCGGCCGATCGGGCGTTGCCGTCTACGAGATAGCGCAGGGTGCTGGGCCAACCTGGCCAGGGAGTGCAGCTGCAAGACGGTAGAAAGACTGCGAAAATGGCAGGCCATTGCTTGCTTGTGTTTTTTACCGGCTGGCTGTGGCGGGCTGTGGCTGGTACAGTGCGGTAATTACTGACGATTGTCGAAAGTTGATGAGTTCTTTCGGTAAGGCGACAATAAATCATTGTGTGCGTGATCTAAACAAATGCGCGCATACTATTGCTCGTTTTAGTTTCTTGGGTCAGGAGTCAAGGGTGTGGCTTGATAAGCCTTCTAATTTCCTGATTCCGCTTATTGTAAAGGATATGATTATGAATTAAATAAAGTCGCTGAAGTTCAAAAAAACAACTCCACCGCGTGACCCCAAACGGACGTCCGTTTTGTCCGGATTCTGTCCGTTTGGGTAGGCCAATGGGGTCGTGTCCGGGCAGTTTCCGGGATGCGGTGGCCGTGCGTCCAGCGCGCGGCCGCATCTTGTCCTTGTGCACATTTCTTTGCAAGTTCTTAAACTTTTTTTATCATTCATCTTTGGTACATGACAATACATCATTACATTTTGACTAGTAAAGTAAGGCCAAAGAAAACAAGAACCACAAGAATACATTTGAGAAGATACCCAACTTCCATAATTGCTCCCTTGAGTTGGGTTAGCGCCTTCTCGACGCACTCATTGTTGATCTGCAGAGGAGCCTCGACGTTGCACCCTCATTTCTTCTTCAAGCCAGAAGTCTGATGCGGAGCATCCCTCGACCATCCCCATGGATGTCACACCGCCACCGCAAGCATGGAGAGGACCTACGACGAGAGCTCACGCACGCCACGTCGGAACCGAGGTGAACTCTTTCCTCTTTGAGTTTCATTCGGATTCACACGAGAGTCGGGTTCTACCTCAAATGGATACATTGTGCACTCGTAGGTATCAAGGAGAAGATCGTGAAGAGGCAAGGACGGAGACACAAGCAACTATGGAGGAGAAGAACGAGGAGAACCGGAGTCCCCTGTACACACCGGGTGCCCAGCCCCCACAACCCCGGGTGCCCAGCCCCTCCACCTGGGCGCACCCCGGGTGCCTGGCTCCCAGCCCCGGGTGCCCGGCCCCTGCCCCAGCCGCCAGCCACCGCACCCCGGGTGCCCGGCCCCTTGGCCCCGGGTGCCCGGGCCACCTCCCACGCCGGCCCAGTACGCCCCCGGGTGCCCGGGTTTTGAGGCCCCGGGTGCCCGGCCGAAGCCGCCCAGCCCCCTGCACCGACCCCGGGTGCCCGGGCCTAGGTCCCCCGGGTGCCCGCACCACTCCGAGGCCTGCGTGCCTTTTGGGCTTTTTGCCCTTGTATCCCTCTCCCCTCTGCCAACTCGTCCCTAGGCTATATAAGGACATCCCCTAGTTCATTTGGAGGATAGCAAAGTATTTGATAGACATTTGTGAGCTTTGCTCCATGGATCCACCCCACTAGGAGATCAAGACCTCCTCTTGGAGTGACCAAACATCAAGACCTCCTCCTTGGGGAAGGATCCCCATCATAGGATCATCAAGCCCTCATCTCCTTCATAGGATTTGGGATGAACTCTACCATGTATCTTATTTCCCTTTGATTGTTCATGTACCTTGTGGATCTTGCGTGTTTGTTGGTCTAGTGGATGTGTGATTTGGACTTGTTCTTGAGTGTTCCTCTTGTGTTCATCTTGTTCTTGGGGATTCCCCCTCCAATTCGCGAAAGATCTTCACTTAGGGTTCCACCCTACAACATCTTGGTATCATGAGGCATGGTTTCTCACGAAATTGGAGCCCCCCATCTTGTTCTCTAGCCTAATTTTGTTGTGTTCCTCCCCAAATTCGAAAATTCCCCACCAAAAATAGCCCCAAATTTTTTTGTGATTTGTTGGTTTGATGAGATTTTGTTGGATTTGATCCATGGATTTGCTTGGTTTCAAGTGGATCTAGCCTTCCCCCCATCCATCTCCACCTTTTCCTCCATGAAATCCACCAATTTCTTGCATCTTCCCACGAATTTCCGCCCAAATCCGACACCCCCGGGCACCCGGACCTCAAACCCCGGGCACCCGGACCTCCCCGCCCACCCCCGCTGACCACCTCGGGTGCTCGCACCCCAAACCCCGGGCACCCGCACCCCCGGTCTGTTTGCCTCGGACCACCCCGGGTGCCCGCACCCCCCAGAATCAGCCGCGTGCACTTTACATTTTCGGCCATAACTTTTGCTCCCGGAGTCCGATTTTCGCGTTCTTTAGCTCGTTGAGTAGCTATTGACATCCCCCATCCATCTAGATAGGTTCCAACACCATTTGACTCCATCAAAAATTTGGCATTTTGGCATTTTTGCATAGGCCATCCATCATATCATTCGCAAAACCACCATCGCTTTCCGCCACCGAACCCATTTTAGTCCCATATAGCATTTGTGGTTGCTTGAGTGGTGACTTGAGTCTCCTAAGGTGTTTCGGCTACTTAGGGACGGTCGCTTCATCATCAAACATCACCACCACTTCCGCATTGCTAACTTCGGAACCACCAACGCATTCCGCTACCACCATTTGACATTTTCATTGAGATTTTGAGTTTGCGGTTTTTTACCGTTTCCTAAGGTGTTTCGGCTACTTAGGGACGGGTCTACATCATCTTGGTACCTACATCAAGAACACCGCCACTCATCATCGCCGCGAGGTCATCATCGACATCGACCACTTCACCAATTTGACACCCTAACCGTAAGCAAGAACGGTACCCTCTATATCATCTTGGTATTGTGGTATCCTATCATTGTACATTCTTGCCATTACATTGTTAAACCCTTAGCCCATTTTGCGTCACTTGCCTATCGAGACTAGCCATTTGAGTATTGCCGGCAACGTTACTTGTGCACATTAGTGATCCATACCTTCCATTGCATACATACCATATCATATTGGTATCATTTTGGTATCATCATATCATCCCTTGTGTCACAAGATCGTTCCTGCATATACAATTGCTATCTTGGTTTGTGCATTTCGCATAAGTGGCCATATCAAAAAAAAGAATAAGCTTTTAAGCACAAAGAGAGCAGAGAGCTTGTGAGCAAGAGCCATAGCATCATACCACATTGCACATAAAATTGTCATATCCGATCATCTTGGATCATCTTGAGAAGAACATCGGGAACATCATACACATAGCATACTTGGGATAGAAAGCTCATACATTTTGCATCTTCTAGGTTGTGCGCAAGTGTCGTATCGCCAATTGAGCAATCGTGCTAGCGTCTCTCTTGAGTTGTGCAACACGAGCGTTTTCCGTGGATTCCACATTTTGTGCTCATTCCTTGGTTGCACGACCCCATTTATCTATTTGTGTGTGTGTTTCTGTGTGCCACATATTGCTATTAGTCTACTTGTTTCACTTGCGAATTTGTGAATCTTTTCCAACATTATTGACTCCTGCTAACATTTTGCATCAAATTTTTGTGCCACTATCCTCACTGAGCTCCACTATAAGCTTTACTTGATAGGTGTGAGTGAACAAGTCCGGTACCAATTCCACTATTCTTTCATCTCACATTGAGTGAAACGGGATACATCCTCAACTTTGGGAAAAGGTAACTTGGTATTGTTTATCTCATTTCCTACTCACCTCTACTCGAGTCTTGTGATGGATAGGCAAGGCATTTCATCTCCGGTCTTCCACGACAATGATGGCATGAACAACTACATCACCAAAATGCCCATCTTCGGACTATAACGAGCAACGCGAGGCATTGAGCGACTCACCGCCGACATTCGTCAACTTGAAGCACGGACAAGAGACTACCTCGACACCAAGTTGGCCGAACAAAGGGATCAAGTACGAGACATTATGGCCAACTACAAGTCTTCTTCCCCTTCGTCATCTTCAAGGCGGCGGCGCTCAAGTGGCCAATCTTCGGAACATCATCGAGCTCAAGCACTACAACACCATCAAGATGAAGATGCTCGCGATACGTACACCTACAAGTCCCAAAAAGCTCTACATTAAGCTACGGCCAAACGTCATGAGCACAAGAGAAGACTGCGAGACAAGCACCACCAAGACGGAGCTACGACTACTACGACCACTTCGGCATCTTCGCCAAGTGTCATCAAGGCATCTTTGCCTTTGGACGTATGGCATCTTCGCCTACCTCCGACGAGTACGCCTACTTCGGCCTTCCTCCACGGCGACGGTGACGAGATGATCGAGCATGGGATTTTCCCTTCGGTCATGGAGGAGAGCGATGATGTTCCATCTTCGGTGTTCATTCATGGTGACGACGAAGAGATGGT